TGATTTTTTTTCATTGGAATTGATTAGGATCACCACCTTACCATCAGATGAACCGTGCGCTTGTTTTCCTCTTTTCCCATGAAATAAATTGTATCATTATTATGGATAAAGTTCAAAATTCAAGTTATTTTGATTGTCAATTTTAGATTTTAAACAATATCTAAGCGTGCTCGGTTATTGAAGACCAATTTTAAACTATTAAAAAATATAATACTTTGTAATCAAGCTATCTTTGTAATCTATTTTTCTATTCGACAGGAGTTTATGAAAAACAACAGAGTGTCCCATTACCTTGTGACAATTGTGAACAAGTATACTTTGCACTTATGGCGAGAGAGCAGAGGTCTCCAGATACCTCACTTCTTGAAAGACGCGCCCCTCTCCCTCCGGCTGAGGATCATGTCTGCTGCCTACCTTCATCACATTACCAGGGTACTGTTTACATTAAGTTTTTTAAGGTCTAGTTTTTATGGTGGACACTGAGTCTTAGACAGATTTGAATGAATATTAAAATAATAATATTTGGCATGGAGCGACAACCATTTCTCTTTGGCACTCTAAAGTCAATCTTGACTGCATGGTTGGCGCGATGGCTGGGCAATTGGCTATCGTGCAACGTGTCGTGGGTTCGATTCCCGCAAGGATCTTTGTGTGATCCACTAATTGTTGTTCCGGGTGTGTGTGGGATATGTATGTGGATCATTCGTCAACGCACCCACGACAAAGAAGAAAATCCTATTGTGGGGCAATGTTTTATAGAAAAACAATCGCATAAACTACCAATAACTAAGCTCCAAGAGTAAAATTATGAACTAACTGGATCCTCTACTTAACTATAAATTGTATTTAACTAGAGCACTGCTTACTTGTACCATTTATTTCAGCATCATATATTTGAGGAGTGTGAACCAGCTTTCTTGAGGCAACTGGTCGGTTGCTTGACACTCTATACTTACAATGAAGGTAAATACCTGGATTTTAGGTAGTATCCACTACCTATTCACTGGTAGTTTAGAGGTCGTCTTTTGAACCCATTTTTGTGATTTATCTTAGTTTAATCTATGCGTTTATGGTGAAGGGATGTACGTGGTGAAAGAGAGTGAGATCACGGATGCAATGTATGTGATACATACTGGCAAAGTAAGGGAAACTTGTGAAGAGATGGACGCCACTGCCGCCAGCGCCAGGGTATACCCTGCAGGCTCCTACTTCGGCATCGTGAGTATCCTCGACTTGTTTCCATTATTCCATGTTCTCTTTAAGCAATATCCGCATGATAAGATTCAGTCAATTGCTGATGGTCAAAGTATTAAGTAAGAATTTCTCAGTAATATATTGCTGGTTTTGTACCCAATATTCTGTAAGTGATTGCCCATAACTAACTTTAAACTTGGACTAAATGGCGTACACTTTTTGCACATTGCTACACCTTTAATTTATATAATCGCGTTACTCTAACAACGTTTCAGATGCAAGGATTATTTCGCAACACTCCGTACACTCACTCGTATGAAACGGTGATCAAGTCACAAGTACTCACTCTGAAACTTGACGACTGGGAGTACCTGTTGAAACATTTTCCAGACAGCAAAAACTCTATACATAAACATATGAGGCAGTTAGGAGACGATCACACGGACCATGGTAACTGGCCTGGAGGTCCTCCGGTAGATCCCACTGTTTCACCTGCATCACTAATTGAACCCACGGACTTAATCGATGCTCCTCAGCAATACTCGCGATATCCAGGAGGCACAAGACTATTTGAAGGTGATTTTGATGAAAATAAGTTTGTTCACCCACCATCTCTAGGGAGATCACAATCTGATTTACCTGAAGATCAGACAAAATCAGAAGTAGTTGTGCAAAAAGAAGAAGAAGCAATTGTAACCGTAGAAAAACAAAAACAAACTGGTATTTTAACTAAAATAGCTCACACTGCAAAGAAGCTAATGGGTAGAGTTTCTGATCCTGATATATTAACTGCAGTATCCGGTGAAGGTAAAGACGAGCTTTTACTCGAAGAAGACGAGGAAGCAACTGAGGCCTTACTTGCCCAGTTTGATGCAGCTAAAAAACTGGCTGAAAAGGAACTAAATTTAAAAAAACTCAGATCTCGTCGAAAAAATATGTTTAATGTCCCAATAGAAGATGAAAATACGGAAAAACAAATGTTTTCTTTAGATATAGACGAGCCTGGTCCTGAAAAATTAGAATCTCAACCATTTGTAATACGGCCTCTTCGGATTCGCGATTCAGAGACAGGCTTCACTTCTAAAGATGCCCCTAACAAAGATATTTTGAATCTAGAAGGTCGCTCAAAATCTAAAACGGGTCGTGATTCAATATTGTCTGAAGGTACAAGAGACGTTACGGCTACTACAGATACTACAGCTAATGAAAGGGAATTAGCTCATGTTCCTTTAGCTGGCAATACTAATATTACTGACGAAAAAGCTGCTGAAAAATTAGCTGCAGATACAACTACAATTAAAGAATCTTCTCAAATACAAGTTGGTATGGATATGGCAACAACTGAGTCTACTAATACTGCTGCCACTACGAAAGAATCCTCATTAGCAGAAGCTACCTTAGGGGCTATTGATTCTAAAACAAAGCGACCTCTTAGTACACCAACAATTGGGTCACCTAAAGCTGCAACAGGCGCAACACCATCAGATGTCCAAGTTGTAATTGATATGACGGAAACAGATTCAAAAATGACTGAAGAAGGAACAGAAGGCGAGAGTACGTTGAAGCAAAACGTAAATACTATGTTAGATAAATTAACAACAGCTATAGAGGAGCAGGTAGGTAAAACATTTAATACATTAGAAAGTAAATTATATGAAGATAAGACTACAGAAGACAAGAAAACAAACGAAGGTGCAAAAGACAAAGAAAGTATTGTATCCTTTAGTGATATTTCATCTAATGAAGAGGAGGAAGTTACCGAAACCACGCTAATGGTACAAAGCCCTTACATTAATGAAGCGGTATCAACACCTACATCAGATACTAAAGATACAATAAATACACTTCCTAACCCTGGCCAAGACATCAACGAAACTCAGCCTGATAAATCAGCAAAGACTACTAAAGAAAATGTTATTGACAAGGCAATCGATCTTTTATATCCTAACTTAGAAACTGAGAATAATGTAAGTCAGGTTAATAGCCCACAAGCCAGTAAAACTGTTGTGCAAGGTATTCTTAAGTCTACTCAGGCTCCTCCAGCATCGAGTGTACAAACCACTCCACCTGTCAGAGAGACTGCTCCTATACAGGCAAGTACAAGTGTTCAAGCTGCCCAACATATAAGTAGGCCACCTCCTAATCCGATAACTACGGGCACACAAGCATCCCTGGCTTCAACTAGTGTTCAAGTTTCGAAATACCAACAGGATATTGATACATCTCAAGAAACCAAAAGTATTCAAGCTGCACAACGTGGTAAAGATATTACAGCTACTAAAGATGTAATAGGTACCCAAACACCTCTCACAATTAGGGATGAACAACCCATTCTTGATACCAAAGTTACACAGCAGACGCAACCTCTAAAAGAAGCCAATGTGCCTCCCACCGGTAAATCAGAGGGCGTCGAAAAATTAGTGTCATTTTTGTCAGAAATAACTATCAGATCTGAAGACATCGATAATAGTTCTAGAGCTATGCTAGTTAATCCACAACCTCCGCCATCATTTGAAGAAGAAGTAGCGCATAAGAGTTCACTTTCAAAAAAATCGACAGTTTCCCACCCTACTGCTATTTCGTCGGACAATAAACCTGCTCGTGAACCTTCATTGCAACCCCTAAAGTTACCACCGGTATCTGCTTCTGAATTGAAACTAACTCAATATTTATCTGAAGAAGAAGTTGTTCCTGCCATAGATCTCGATGCAACAACTATCTCGAAAACATCTGATGATGCGTCCTCAGCTGGACCATCGAGGACTATGGAGTCAGCACAAAAATCTGAAAAACAACCTGACGATAAGCAAAAGGAGCAAAATTCTGCAGAAGAAATGAAAGGAAAAGGCACTCGCTCATCGGCCTCTAGGCGTTTCGTTCGTGTGCGATACGAAGAAAATGACGCTGAAAAGAAACTGCCAGAAACATTGCTGGAGAGTAAAGATAATGTTGCAACCTCCTCGGACCAACATCTGAATTATTTCACCATGGACAGTGATGAGCCTAATCCAATAAATGCTCAGCACAGTGCAAATGAGGATCAGAGTTCGCAAAGTCAAACATCCGTATCGAATACATCTGGCGTGAATAAAACTAAAAATCAATCTTTTAAAAGACGCTCAGATTGATCGAAGTTTTGCGTAAAATTTAGATTTCAGCTAATTTAGATACTTACTTTTTAGACAAACATTTTAATTGCTATTGATAGTTAGTTAATTTGTTAGTAGTTTTAAATATTGTTCTTCAATATAGTGTTATAAATTTAATAGTAGTGTTCATTTCATTCGCATTTGCGATTTGGTGCAATGCGTTTTGTTTCTCTGGTACATTTAATGAATCAAACATTTCAACCAAAGTTTATTCGATGGGAAAAGATCCTAATAGTTGCGTACCTACCTCTGTATTGTATCTCGAACCGTAAATTTCGTACTTACCTCTGCCACATCTTGCATGACTTGATGAAACCACCTTAAATCCACTTCTTTTTACGTCTGGTGGTCTCCACCCCATCTTAATGTACTGATTGTGTCCTTCCATTAGTATAAATACATTCGACATTAAGGTCCAACTCAATCAAACTCAGTTATTCTAAAAAAGCCTTTATTACAAAAACTCTCTTAGTTCATAACATAACAACGATAAAATCCGTAACAAGATGATTTGTACCGAACATCAACAATAATTAGCTAAGTCAGTAACATTGCTCTGATAGTTAATATTTGCCATCTAATATGCTGTCTTTCACTTTGATATAATTTACTTTAGACATTATTTATATTGGAATGCCCAGCACTGTTCACACTCTCTGGTGTTTCGAGTTTGTCATTCTGTGCGACCTCCCTTAGTCTTGTTCCGTGGTCTTAAGTTACTTAAATGCTTGGGTGTACATTGCTTAACTTACGATTAACTTATTACTAAGATTACGGTTTCCTAAATTTAAGATTATAGCGTTTGTTGACCGCCATCTTGGATTGGTCTCAAGTTTAAGTTGTTTTTGGACAGCTTCTGAAACAAAATGAAAGAAAATGTTAATATTTATATCCTCATGTGTTACAAAGTTCGCTAGGAATTGGCGGGGCTGTCGGTCGGCGTAATTTTTACGATCTAGTGTCTATTTCCAGTGACAGCATTTCAATATATAATTATAAAACTACAGGAAACAAGATTGACGTCATCGTGCACTCTAAATTGCGGACTTATATTTCATTTCGATTCTATATAAAAAAATTAATAGTTTAGAAATATTTACAGAGTCTTTAAATGTCGCAATAATCCGTTATTTATGTTTAAAATTGTCTGCGGTACGGTCACAACTATTTATGAATATGTCGAGGAACATCAAGAAATTATGACGCGCTCGTGTCCGTGGGCGGTTTAGAGTATCTACTTGCTTTTGATGATTATAATATTAATGTGGTTTGCAGCCGTCACTAGCTGAAATTGACTCAAAACCGAGGCCTTGCAGTTGCTGATTATAACAAGAATTTATATTAATAAATTGTTTCATATTATATAGGATTAATGAGGCTATTATTTAACTGTGATCTTGGATACTTTATAATTTGTGTGGCTATCTATAGATCGGACGGCTTAACAGATGGCAATATAATCTAATTTCTACTATTTGTCATTTTCTTTTAGGTAGGTACTTATTGTATGCCTTAATCGTATAAGCAGAGTAAGTAAGTAAATAAGAAAGACAAAGATATCAATAATGGACGGACACGGATTGACACTTAAACAAGAGAACAAAACAACACACTAGTTAACCACAAAGGTTTTCTATGCAATAAACTTTGCTTTGCTATAAATTCATCTACACAACTAGTACATATTATAACAGAACATAGGTGCAGTAAACCGTCGGAAACGTTAATGTTTCCGCCCATTACTTGTTATTTTTAAATCTTGCATTGTTCGGAAACCGCTTAAGATACTGCTCGAGAATTTACAAGAGCAAGCTTTTAACCGTCATAACTATAACTACTGATGCTCCGTAACGAGTACGTTACACAAGTTGAAATACAATTAATGGTCTAATAACCTTCTTATTGCTAACCAATCTTTTTAAATTTAAATTTTTCTTTCAAAGTGCCAGTTTGTAATATTCAAATAACAGCTTTTTACTACATGCATACGATACATATACCAAAATAACATTTTTTTAATTTTTGTCTATCTGTCTGTCTGTCTGTTTGTACTGGGTAATCTCTGGAATGGCTGTACCGAATTTGACGACACTATTATTGGCAGTAACTGGTCTACAAAGGAGTAACAATTCAAAGCATTTATTTCAATTAAACCATAATTTGGTACTTTTGAAACGTCAACAAATACAAAATAAATAATAGTCTGTCAGTCAGTCTGTCAGTGAAGCTAGGTGCTCATTCCCAAATATAGATTCGAATGTAGAAGAACAAGCAAGAAATTCCATTCGTTAGTCTTTTTAAAAAAGTTAATTTTGTGGGTATATGGAAATAAACCGACATTCAAAACGTGCTCCCTTTGTCAGTGCAAGGGCATGTGTCACAGTGTGTAAATAGCCGCTATGTACCAGATACAATAGAACATAATTTGTTTAAACTATCTGCCACACATTCTGTGACTGCATCTACTAGAATGCAGTACACAATACAGGTTTAATCTAGATATAGATAATTTACACTATTTTTTTATGGGATAAGCCGGTAAACGAACAGACGGATCACCTGATGGTAACAAGTGGAACACCAGAGGCATTACAAGTGCGTTATCGGCCTTTTGGAGATTAGGAATTTAAGGATTGTTTTAGATTTACTATATTAGCAGTTCATAATATAGCATTAGCATACCTACGCTAGAAGTCTTTCCTCTTGATTATAACTCGCGCTCTAAGAAAAATGTCGAAGCACTGTCAACAGCAATAGATGACAAATTAACGGAATCTTCGCGGCCGGAAGTTGTTGATGACATACAAGATGACAGAGTTATATTGATCACTTAAGAAGATGAACTTTCAACGATTTTAAAAGAAGTAATTATAAGGACTATCACAAGCACGCAAAGTTTTCACAATCGGACATTCGATTAAGATGATAATTAAGAAAATAATGATAATGATGCTGATGATATATTTTTGACAATTACATAGTGATTCAACAAACAGGTTCCAACACTACAATAGTGCCGTTTGATTAAAATGCAACGTCCTACTTGCCTGAAGAGCCAGAGTTTATTTTAAGGCTAATAGCTTGGAAGAAAAATAATGCAGAAAGAGGAGACAATTTAAATTCCGAATACACATTGGTTTAAAAAAGTGAATCATAATTGAAGATAAAATGGGGATCTTCAGTACTGTTTCTGTTTCTGCCTCTGTTGGTAGTAATAGAATCAAACTTTAAATAACTAATTGCCCATGGCCCACTCCGGTTAACATTATGTAAGTAGTTGAGACTGTTTGTTATGGTTATGATTTTCTGTATAACCTTTAACCAAAAGTTTGCAGTAATTGTCAGTTACTGCTAAACACATTATAGGGTGTTTCACTGTTTCATCCTTTAGATCTTTTATGACGTCCATAAAAGCTTCTATTCAAGTATAGCGTTTTAACAACACCTAAATTATCGCAAACGTATCCACAAACTTTACGCGGTAGTTTACCGTCACTCAACGCTAGATCTTCTTTGATAAAATAACTACAAATCTTCGACAGGCCGTCACACAAATTCACAGATTTTTCATCGCATTTTTATGTCAGTTGGCAGTGTTACGCGGTAATCTAAATTTCTTTCCTCTATTTTCAACACCATGGCGAGGTATTGACGACGTTCATTGCCACCATGATTGATTGCGATCGTTAACCAAGCTGTCACTACATTTCCAATTCGTCTTCGGTTAGATTTAGCTCCCACCATCCATCTTCGCACGTCTAGATACTTTGCGTCATCCTAACTATTGTTTTCAACATTTTCTACTTCTCATTTTATTTGTATCTATTTTAAAAACGAAGGTTAATCTCAAATATAAATAGACGACGCCGCTATTTTCATTTGGGGACATTTTATTTTTTATTTCTGTATTTTTAAATCGTGTTGTCAACTTCGTGATAGTTTTATTTTTGATCTTGTTTTTGTTTCGTTTGCTCACGCGTGTGTCGGATTGCGAATCTTGATTTCAATTCATAATTTACATGTGCCCATACATTTTCTCAATTTTCTTTTACAGTGCCATTAGTCTTATCGGTATTCCAATAGTAAACTATAGTCGTTGTCGTCTGTTTAACATCAAACAGTTCTCTGCAGTTACGTATGTATGACTGTGGGCGGTAAGTATGTTAATAAATTGGCCGCACAATATTGTTTAGTCTGTGTATCGTAATGTTTATTACAAAAAGCTCTCGGCCAACACAAAAGTGAATTGAAAGCAGTCATCGATGGGTTTGTAATAAAAGTGAATATCGTTCCCTTCTGCAACATGTACGAATAAATGAAAATGTTTGTGAAGTTATTATTTATCGCCGACATCTCGACTGTTACCTACATTTAGATTGCAGAGATTATAAAATTTCAAAGAAACCATATGCTTTCCATCTCGCTAAAATATTACTGGGTCATTGTTTTTACTGCATAATTCATCAAAGTAACGTTTCAATTTAGTAATAGCGATTGTAAATTTTCTATTATTCGCGAATTTCTCTACTGAAGACTTTATTTCTTTTGAACTCGGTAAACATTAGGCGCTATGAAAGTGTAATGATGCCGGCTGATAAAATGCTGTATGAAAATGTTCAGTAAGTTTAGCAAACTATGTTTTGACGTGTTGATTACCGGCTGCCTACACAGCCACACACCCGCTGAAGTACATTTTGTTTTGATCCTCTGTAAATGTGTTTGCATCGAGGGGAACGTTTGTTTATCGGGTTGTTCGTGTGTCATCAGAATTCTGGCTCTGTTTAAGACCTCGTCATCGGTTGACATGTTTACAACCGTACAATTGGACCCGCATCATTTAGAATCAAAAAACAATTGGCAAAAAGACAATTTTTATGCAAAGCCCGAGTTGATATATCTACGCTTCCACGCTCTGCGTCTTATGACTTGCCATTCAGTATTTCAGTTGGATTATTTCGGTAATTTTAGACGCGGGAATGTTATGATTTCTGTGGAGAAGCCGCAGGCGCCGGTCGGCGAACTATTTTAGCTATCCGACCTCCAATAAAGCGATGCTGTACGAATCAACAACTATCGTTTCGACATCTGAAATGAGTTTTATGCCGGCAGATATTTTTACAGTGGTCATCGTAAATACAAGTGTTTATTTTTAATTAAAAGTAAATAGCGTCGATATATTTGGCACTCATTGGTCATTAGTTAGCAATTCTTTTGATCTTATCTATGGGAATGTTTTCGTGTAATTTAGTGGGTATAACTATTTAACGGCAACTTTTGTTTATCTTTGGAAATAGTTTTCTATCGATTGATAAAGACACTGAAAAACTGAATAATTGGAAAAAAGATACGAATTCGATATTTTTGTCACCGATTGATGCGAACGCACTTAAAACACTTTTGGAAGCTTACGTGCAGTAATGAGTTGGTAATGAGCACCTCAGAACATCCCCGAGTAGAGCAGCCAGAGACTGGCGAGGAGCAGCACCAGGATGAGGTAGGTGGCGATGAGGTTGGTGGTCTCGTGGTTGGGCATGATGGCTACGTGACACCTTCACCGGACAAACGGCTCCAAGGAACTGAGGGGTCGCTGGAGCAAGCCGCGCGCCCGTCGCCTACGTAAGCCACGCCTATTTCTCACGCCAAATACTTTCAACATTTATAAATATGAATGTACGTTAATAGACCGTCCGTGTGGTGACAGGTGGCTCAGATTTTGCGGATAATTAACATTGCGATGCGGCGGTAACTGCGAGCTATTGGCACATGGTTTAATTTATTTTCCAGGTTCTAGAATGTCCTTATTGAGAACCGGCAGCTAGTAAACCTAAGTAATCACATAAACAATCACTGTCCACGAACACACTGACAAACCTGTCCATTGTTTAGAAGACCGTGGAGTAGAGTAGCCAGAGGAAGAACAGCAGGATGACGAGGATCATGTAGGTGGCGGCCAGGTTGACCGTCTCCGCGTTGATCGGCATGGTTGCTATGTAACGGAGCAGGCTGGACTGATCGCTCGAGGATCTACCAACCGCTTGAACCACCAAATTTGCGTCAGAGCACAGGGCCCAACTTTATTATGGAAGGATGCTCCAGAATTTTTTCATTTTATTTTTTGAGTTTTTTTTTGTGCAGTTGTTAATTTAAGGATATAATTGCTATCTAGCATCTTATTGTTTACAGACCTACGATGTTCTCCCTACTTTACAACGCTAATAAAATAAATTACGAAAGCTCAAAACTGCGCTCGGTAAATCCATCCATCTTTTCTAAAACAATCTACCACTGAGACAAATTCGACTAGACGACACATTTATGCGCATATTCTTTAACGAACATAATAAAACAAAATATTATACTGGTCCCCTTAGTCTTAGAGTGGGTTTGATGTATAATAAAAAGTCGTGTGGGTAATTTATAATAGTTTATTACAATAGAATGAGCAGCCACCAGTTTTCCAGTCCTTTAGAAATTTCGGCAGCGCACGAATTATGTAATAAGCGTGGCATCCATGATTCCAGTGTTATTTTTGATACACAGACACACTTTAGTACGCTCAGTCACGAATCTGAAGCCGCAACACGACACAAAAAGGCAGATTTTGTTCACACTCACTGTACTCACATTTTGTCCTTAGAATGCAGAATACATGAGCCATAGTGACACCAGCAGCAGCAGCAGGATGCAGTAGGTGGCCACCAGGTTGGTTCCTTCCGCGGAGTTCATGGTTGTTACCTCGTACGCGCTACAGACGAGATTGAGCACAACACTGAGGGGCAGAGCCTCATATACTTGTTTCTAATTGTTCAAAACGTGACGAATACGTTCTATTTTTTGTTTTTTGGCGACGCATGTGATTAATTGGCTGTCTTGTAAAAATTCTTCGTTGTTAAAATTCTGCATTTATTTACAAATTTACGCTTTCGACTAATGTCCCTTTTAATTTTGTTTGCATACCGTTTTGGCATCGGGACGGGATCAAAATTATTTGGTTGTTTCTTACGAAGTTGAATCATTGTTTACGATTTCCTTTTGTTTTCTCCAAAGTTTCGGGTGACTCGCCTTTACATCGCATTACGTTTGTTTTATTAATAAGTTTTTCATATTTCAGATGTTTATTACAGGCACTTGCGCATGAAATGGGATGGTTATGAAATATATTTTCGTCGTATTCATCTCGTCTGCCAAGGAGAGGCGTTTCCTTTGAGTTTTTTGCGAAAAATGCAAAAAAATTGAGAGAATTTATGAAATTTGTTAAAAAAGTTAGAAAAAATGTCTGGAATTCTCCAGCGCTGCCGAGTCCGGTCCTGTGTTCAATTCACATTTATGGAGTATGATAAACCGAGCTATTTCCGCGCTGGAGCTTCGGTAGTACGCGCGAAGCTTAATCTGTACGCGTACTATGCACTCGAGTTTTTCGAAGGCGGCCGGATCACTGGATTGCGATGTTGCGCAAATATTTATCCAGATCGATATTGAAATTACAACTTCATAATATTTGTTTACTATTACTCGTACAAGTGGTTTATTTAACTCATCTCCGATGTGTTTTGTTTCTGTTCGATTTATTTCTAATAGAATAAGATTGACCGGTTACGAATTGAGGTAGCGATACGAATTAAATTAAATTCAATTGATTAAAATACCGATCTTGATGATAATGATTATAGTTCAGGTGGTATGTGCATTCTACATATAAGTAGCTGTGGTGAAAAGCTTAGAAAACTTAAGCGATGTCTTTCGATGTGATGGAATAGGGACATAATCTCTTTTCCATACTAAAACGTTACGACCTACCAATAAAAATACCAACCAAATTAATACTCAAGGTTACCCTGTCGTGGAAGATGCAACTCGAGGTTCTTAATTTTTACTTTTAAAAATAAATGTAGTACCTAATTCCATAAAAGGAAAATTGGGTATCACAAACTTGAATTTTAACCAATACTTTGTAAAATACTTCAGTCTTCGTGATGTCCAAGGAAAGTCCCATTGACAAATGACCATGACAGTATAATCTAAGAATTGGCTACAAAAGCATAAACTAAAGGCTATTAAATAACTGCCCCTATGTCACTTTAAGGGACATAGGTACATACAGTTTATATTTCAAAGCAACATTGTGGCAGAAACGAGGCAGTTAACAATTAGAAATACACACAAATTATACCAATAAGTACTTATCTAAAATAGACCACCACGGATGGGGCCCAATAGGGCTGATGCCGATACGGAGACGCGGAGGACTTTTAACTGGTTACCGGGGCTCCGGCTCGAAGGGCAAGAGTAGGAACAAGGTGGTTATTAGTCAGTAAGAATCTGACACTACCTCCCACCGCAGCCAGGCGGGAGAAGTCATTCGATGATTCCCCCCCCCCCTCAAAAAAACCTACTGTACATCAACAGACAAAAACTTCCGTAGTCTTGTATTAAGCCCCAAAAAGTAGAGAAGAGAAGGGGGAGAAGGGTTCAGTTCGTGGAAATCAGGTAGGTTTCGCATGTTAGTAGGTTGAAAGTCTAATCACGTGTTTACCCCCAAATATCACTAGGTAACTCTTAGAAATAAGTAAGTTATACACGGCCTCACAGAAAACCGACGTAAAGCAACGCTTGCGATGTGTTTCGTCGTGTGAGTGAGGTTACCGGACCCAGCTACCCTCCCCCCTTCCCCAATCTCCCCAATCCCCAATAATCTTCAAACTCCTAATCCCCAAAAGGCCGGTAACGCACTTCTAACTCTTCTAGTGTTCCAGGTGTGCATGGGCGACGCCGATTGCTTACCATCAGGTGATCCGTCTGCTAGTTTACCGGCTTATGGCTTTAAAAAAGTAGGTATACTAAGGTATACTACTTAAAACAAAATAAGGGCCACTTTGTTTTTAGACTTTAATCAAAAAGCATGAATGTGTTTCTGTTTTGCCTAGGTATTGAGGCATTGTTTAAACTTACTAAATCTCATTAGTTATAAATGCTATATTTTAGTAACTGTCATCTCTCGAGTAACTCAAGGACATATATATGAACGATTGTGACCCTTATTTAGTTTTCAACCGACTTCAAAAAAAAGGAGTCGGTTCTCAATTCGTCTTTTTTTTTGAGTAGTATATATTTATGATGCTCCCATTTGACATCTAAAATTTTGTAAAATAAAAGTGCAACGCGACGAATGAATCACCTTCTTATACGCCTACCTACACACTTTTATTTTTGAGATTGAATTATTGACAATTATGTTGCCTAGCCACGTTTTGGCTTCGACTCGCCTCCTATTAAATGAAACACGTATCTAACATATCTGAGAAGATTGTGTTCCTTAATTAATGGATACATTTCTTGGACATAGGTATAGTCGTAGGTAAATATGTATGTAGCCGACACCGCAATGGGGGCAAAAATTACCATCATCTTTTTTTTATGGTGTAAGCCGGTAAACGAGCAGACGGATCACCTGATGCGCTACAAGTGCGTTACCGGCCTTTTGGGGATTAGGAGTTTGAGGATCGTTGGGGAGATTGGGGAAGGGGAGGGTAAATGGGCCTCCGGTAACCTCACTCACACGACGAAACACAAGGCAAGCATTACTTCTCGTCAGTTTTCTGTGAGGCCGTGGTATCACTCTGGTCGAGCCGGCCCATTCGTGCCGAAGCATGACTCTCCCACACTGAAATCTCTGGGAAAACTCATCTTCTGGGAGAACTTCTGTAGGCAGTTCTGCATAATTTAAAAAATACCCTAACTAAAGATACAATATGACCAAGTTAATAACAAAAATAACAGTATGTTATCAAGTGATGTATGTATTATGCAAGTGTGAGAGTGAGGCTCGCCCCCGCATCCTCGCAGTGAGCAGTGACACTTTGGGGCCACTGCACTGAAATAGATGACTCCAGTCATTCCCCCCCTACTCCTCCCACTCCTCTCCCAAATATCTTCAGAGTTTATGGCCGCAGTAATAAAACGTGTCCATGGTCAAACGTTTATTTCAATATTGGTTGGGTAAATGATGATTGGATGGTTCATGAACTTAGTGGTTGCTAATTTGATTCCGGAGCTGAAAACCTTTGGTTTCGGTTTTCTATTTATTTATTTATTAAAATTGCACAATGTACATATAATAGGAAGTATTACATACAACGAATTCAGTACATTACCCTGTTAGGGCGCAGCAATTTAAAACGTTACAAAATTTAATATCAGCTGAAATTTATAACTATTACTTAGAGCTATAACTATACCTATACATATATTAACTATTTAATCGTTTTTTATAATCTTTATTTAACTCGTCGAGTACCGGTTTTATAGACACAATTATAGAACAATAGGTTGCGGTCACCGGTGACCGCTTGGTGTTTGACAGTTTAAGGGATTTAATCACATAGTGATAATGTCACCCCGTGACTTACAATGAACATATCTAACATTTTACTCTTAAAGGTAACAGGTATACTCATTCTCATCTGCCTGCTATTCGTCACTGATAGTAGACTGTAGGACGTAATTAGGACTCGTTATTGCTTCTGTGTCTTCAGGTATCGCTACTTTTCGACAGATTTGATACTGAAAGACAGCCAGACAGGAATAAAATTCGCACCATCATGAACAGTAATAAATTACTGAAAAGATTTCATCAATTAATTGATCTTTCAAATTAAAATAATAATAATTATACAAAGTTACCTGAATAAAAATAACACGTGTTTATGTAGACGCGTAACTCCTGTCTTTTTTATCACATTCGTGACAGTCACAAACCTGTCAGTCTGTCACGAAAACAGTTGGAGAATTTGTCGATGTATTCGTTGCCCAAAGTGGACGCTGGGATTGCCCACTACTCTTGAATAAACAAAGTTAAAACAACAACTTATTATTGGCGCAGGGTATATGATTACGTAATAGAGGTATATACGATATTGTAGTAGGTATAACATTTTTACCCGCTTCTTTACTCGCATTGAAAATGTATGTAGGTAGGTACTCCTGAACTCCCAAATACCCACCTAATGTAGGTATGCAAAATGAAAGAAGAAAGAAACAAAAGTAGTTTTTTTTTTGCACCGATATGAAAATTAAACAAGAACACAAGAAAAATAGTTAAAAAAAAAACGAACAGTACAAGCTGCAAAAAGGCCAGTACTCATCTAAAATGCCGTGACCCGAGCGCGATTGCTCGAGTCGCGGCGCTAATTTTCAGCACTAGCCTGTTGGTCTAATCACATAGGTAAATAGGTAAGGTAACAAGCAAACAAACTTACTTTATCATTTAACATAACATAACATAATCACACCTTTTTATCCCCGAAGGCAAAGGTGCACATTACGGCACTTAATGGCACTGTAGGTACAATGTAACACCCACTTTTCAATACTTATGTTATGAGTCCCATGTAATAGAGGGTGAGCGTATTGCCATATACCATATACATTTCCAGACTCCGTGCAACTACTAAGATTAAAAAAAACCAGTTAAACTTTGCCCGACCCGGGAATCGACCCGAGACCCCCTTGCCCGGCAATTGGCAATTGACAATTTGTACATAGATATTTAATAGAATAGGTTGAGTTTGGTAGTTGTGATTCTCAAGTGGGTACATTAACCTAATTTTACGTAAATGCACTGCACTTACGGAAAGAGGTGATAAATCCTGAGTTGCATGCGTTGCATCCATCTCACACACACTCACAGACGCACACACGCGTCCCAAAACGGTCTCTGTTTTATTTCGTGCAGGGGCGTAGCTACCGCCGTATCTGCCGTATCAATTATACGG